CCAGCTCGCTGACTCTAAAAGCACCAAAGAAGGCAACAACAAATGCCACCTTAAATAAAATGGCCCCTCCCACAGCTGCAGACTGCGCCCTTGATAACTCTGTCAGGGTTTCCAGTGTTACTCTGGTGCCCAACGCCTCTGGTCGCTTAGGAGGGCCTTTTTAAAGCCTTGGTCTCCCTGAGTAGCCCTGAGTAGCCCTGCCCCCTGGTTAAGGGATGCTAAAAGGCTTAGGGATCACAGCCTCGTTAAGAAGCTCTCAGCTCTCAGCCTTGCCTAGCAGGCCACTACATGGCTATGAAGAAATACATTACTTAGAGTAAATGGAATAAGTGAAATTGCTATATTGTCTTTCATTAGCGTCTGTCTATCATTTTTTAAAGATGAATGCTAAAGACATTATGTAGAAAGAAATGAGGAACAGGTATGAAAGCTTTATTTAATCATATTGTTCTAAGGCACCCAATAAATATCAATGAAACCAACATTTAAAAAATCTTTTTTTTCAAAATGGCCAACAGCACCAAATATGCACATATCCAAAAATGAGACCTGGCGGGGAGGGGTGAGCCATAAAGCAAAAAGGGGGCATGGAAACATGTCAACACTTATATGAGAAAAGGTATAGAGATACAACTACTCTGGAAGGCCCTAATGGACAGAAACTGCTCTCTCTCTTCCGCCATTTTTCACCAGTTTAAGATGATGGAAGCTCCTGCTGGATCAGTTGGATGGTGGGGGGACCCGGCCTGCTTGAACACAGATGGTCCACAAGTTGTGGTGCAATCTAAGGCTTTAATGTGAATGCATAGTCTTTAGATAGCCAAGATTCAAACTGTACTAACTGCTATTCTAACACCCTGAAGTAGCTTGTACCAAACAGTGGAATGTCTAAATGTATCCTATATGTGTTATGCTGCATCCACAGGGCTGCCGTTATTAACCTTGTACCCCTCTCTACTGATAGCTCAGGCTTGGGTTATCTTGGCCACTACAGACTCCTTACCAAGAGTCTGAAGGGAAGAAAAGCAGGCTGAAATGAGCTATGTATAGTAACATAAGAAACATAAGAACGGCCATACTGGGTCAGACCAATGGTCCATCTAGCCCAGTATCCTGTCTTCCAGCAGTGGCCAATGCCAGGTGCCCCAGAGGGACTGAACAGGATATTCATCAAGTGATCCATTCCCTGTTTCCCATTCCCAGCTTCTGGCAAACAAAGGCTGGGGACACCATCCCTAATAACCATTGATGGACCTATCCCTCCATGAATTTAGCTAGTTCTTGTTTGAACCCTGTTATAGTCTTGGCCTTCACAACATTCTCTGGCAAAGAGGTCCACAGGTTGACTATGCATTCTGTGAAGAAATACTTCCTTTTGTTTTAAACCTGCTGCCTATTAATTTCATTTGGTGACCCCTAGTTCTTGTGTTATGAGAAGGAGTAAATAACACTTCCTTGTTCACTTTCTCCATACCAGTCATGATTTTATAGACCTCTATCATATTCCCCCTTAGTCATCTCTTTTCCAAGATGAACCGTCTGAGTCTTATTAATCTCTCCTCATATGGAAGCTGTTCCATATCCCTAATCATTTTTGTTGCCCTTTTCTGAACCTTTTCCAAGTCTAATATATCTTTTTTGAGATGGGGCAACCACATCTGCACACAGTATATGGAGATATACCTATCTCATAAGAACTGGAAGGGACCCTGAAAGGTCATTGAGTCCAGCCCGCTGCCTTCACTAGCAGGACCAAGTACTGATTTTGCCCCAGATCCCTAAGTGGCCCCCTCAAGGATTGAACTCACAAGCAGGCCAATGCTCAAACCACTGAGCTATCCCTCCCCCCATTCAAGATGTGAGTGTACAATGGATTTCTATAGAGGTAATATGATATTTTCTGTCTTCTTATCAATCCCTTTCCTAATGATTCCCAACATTCTGTTAGCTTTTTTGACTGCCACTGCACATTGAGTGGATGTTTTCAAAGAACTATCCAGAATGACTCCAAGATCTCTTTCTTGTGTGGGAACAGCTAATTTAGACCCCATCTTTTTATATGTATATTTGGGATTATGTTTTCGAATGTGCATTACTTTGCCTTTATCAACATTGAATCTCATCTGCCATTTTGTTGCCCAGGCACCCAGTTTTGTGGGATCCTTTTGTAACTCTTTGCAGTCTGCTTTGGACTTAACTATCTTGTAACCAGTCCCCTTTCCCACTTATCTCCAATATCTGAACAGCACAGCCCATGTCCAAAATATGACTTGCTTGCATAAGTGACCTTGGATTTTGTGGGGTACAAATTCATTTGTTTAAAAAAGTCACTTGTGCCACGGGGCTTGGGTCAGGTACACTCAATATCTTAGGCCTTGTCTTCACTTACCGGCGGGTCCGGCGGCACGCCATCGATGTTCTGGGATCGATTTATCGCGTCTGGTTAAGACGCGATAAATCGATCCCGGATCGATCCCGGAAGTGCTCACAGTCGGCGCCGGTACTCCAGCTCGCCGAGAGGAGTACGCGGCATCGACGGGGAGAGACTTCCTGCCGCGTCTGGACCCCGGTAAGTCCGGACTAAGGTACTTCGAATTTGCGTACCTTAGTCCGATTTGGGGACTTAGTGGGGACCAGGCCTTAGAATCTTTTCTTTATGGGTGTCCCTAGAAACTGGCGTTCCAGACATCTGTGGTGCCCCCTGTGCTTGTGTTCCCACTCCTGTGTTTGGATTCCCTCAAGAGCTTAACAGAAAAGGCACCATGATAATCTGACATGAAAGCCGAGAATCTGCAGGTCTCACAGGAGGACAATCCAGGGGAGATAGATGAAGCTGGAGAGCAGGTGCCCTCACCTATGCAGCTGGTTTTGTTGAACCAGAAGTCCCCAAATCCAGAGGGCTGGAGAGGAAACTTTGTTGCCTGCTGCTGACTCTTCCTGTAGGGATGTGAAGGAAGCATGAGTGGGAGATGGGAGATGGTGCCAAAAAGTTATAAAAGATCTCTTGGCTCACAGGTAGCGCCATGCTGCTTTCCATTGCCACTCACTAGCAGAGGGGATCTTTGTACTTTTGACTGTTAATAATTGCTGTGGTTTGGACTTGAATGAAACAAGCTCTTAGTTAAGGGCTAGAACAAACATGAGGATAAAATGGCTTAGAGCAACTAGAGGAGCTGGAAAACCTATTTTCTACCTAGCTAATCTTGTTAAGTAGCATTTTTTGTCTGTTTAGCTTGAATGGTTTGAATATGCATCTTCCTTACGGGGTTGGGTGTTGAATGATTGTAGTGAATGATTATAGTTATCTGAATTTGCTTGGGCACAGAAGTTTTCAGGGAGTGGTCTTAGCATATAAAGGTGACTGAAACCTGATCAAATACTGAGCCCAATGGGCAAGGCTGTTCATATCATGCTGGTGATAACAGAGCACTTGTATAGTTTCCTGCTGTCTTCAGTGGTCGCAGACCTTATTCTCCACACCCTGTTGAAACAGGGGAGACACCATTCTATCCCTCCTCTCCCACATACTAAACCCAACCCAAAAGGAGCAGCTTTGAGCTGATGTAGCAAATCCTTTATTAAAAACAATTTCTCTTTCTTGCTCTGCCTTTTCCCTCCCCACCCTCATCAAATCTGCTTACTCAGCTGCTTCTTAATGTCCTTTTAAAGTAACCTAAACCAGTAGAAGAATCTCACAGTTAATCTTCAGCTGGTGCAAATGGGCATAGTGTCATTGAAATGAATCAGGCTAAGCTAATTTACAGCATCTGAGAATTTGGCCCTCAGCCAGTATATAAAAACATTGGGGGTGAGGGTAGAGATGGAGGGAGGTGGTGAGAGAGCGAGGAACTCCTTAACTGAAAGAGCGAATGGACCTAAACTCATGAGCAGCTGCGCCCCTGAAAGCTCTGCACCTTGCAGAATGTGACTCCACGTTTGCAAGGCTCCAGCAGTCTCACCGCCTTCTCTAGTTTGCGTCTGATTAATTTTTAAAAGGATCCCAAGAGCCAATGAAGACAGTGCAAGAACAGGTCATGCCCAGGAGAAAGTAACTCTTTGTCACCAACCTCTTATCAAAGGTCTGTGCAGCTGTTGCATGGGACTGTTAAAATGACACAGGTTTGTTTTGGTGCAGTGCAGTTCCCACTGCATCATGGGGCAAAATGACCAAAAATGTGAGAGGACAGGTGCTGTCAACTGACTGTTGAAGGTGCATTTCACCCTAGTCCAGAGGGCCTAATCAAAGGCGTAGGTGGAACAAAGAGCCTGGCAAGAGGCCTTCTGCACTGGAGTTATTTCATGTCTGGAGCAGAGGTTCAAGGTCCTGCTGTTCATGTGTGCACATACTGTGTGCTGGTTTGATTCACGTCAGCCTCCCTTTGTATTTCACTAATTACTATAGTCAATATGAACATATCTTTGTATAATGGACAACAATAATGTAAAGGTACATTTAATTTTTCTGCCGACACTTCTAATGCTGGTGTTGCTGTTTACCAATAAACTCTTTAACTATCACTGTGAAACAGCCTGTTTACATCCTCTTTGTGGAGGGATAGGAGGGTGGATATTGGTGCTTCACATTCATGTGTTTCATGTTCCTTTTGTTTTCTTAGTGAGCTAATACAGATAGAGAATTAGACTAATTTCCTTGTTAAAGCCCAATTTCTGTTGTCTAGGGAAATCCACGCTACCTACCCCGTGCCTGGAGTCTGTTACTCAAGTAAGCTCCGCTGGATGGTGCAGTTAATTTTGTATCTATAACAGCTATTGTAATACTTTGCTTTTAATATGTCTCATCAGAGGCTCTCCAACTGCTACACAAGGATCAGGCAGCATTAGGGGAAACTAAGACTAAGTGATGTGCCCAAGGGCCCAGCAAGTCAGTGGCAGAACTGTCTCCCCTCTAACTACGAGGCAATGCTTTCCTTTAAAGGAGGTATCCTGAATCCATAACCCAAAAGAGTCCTGTGAGGGGAGAGACTCAGTAACAGCGCTAGTTCAGGCAGAGATGTTTATTCACGAGATGCAGACGGGTGCTGGAGTGTCCTATGAACACTGCTGGTGAAATCATTCCTGTAGGCCAGGCTCTCACCATGGTACATTTCTTCCTGTCCAGTCCACTACAATCCCATGGTGTTTCTCAGAGAGGGTGGAGAGCACCTTCAGAATCCCCTGCACGCTGTCCTCCACCGTCAGCTCTGCCTGCAGCCTGCACATGAAAGGGGGAGAATGAAACTCCACTTGTGTTTGAAGCACCCGCCCCAGGGAAGTGGGCTCCTGGCCTCGGTGGCAGCTGGCCCACACCTTCCTGTGCTCGCTGCTTCCTTCTGGATCACAGCTAGCAAATCCAGGCTGTTGCTGGGCGTGAGTAGGGATTGGGCAGTAGTTGCCTTTCTGGAAGGAAGGGGGAGCACAGATCTTGTGAACCTGTGTGTGTGTGTGAGGGGGAGATAGGGATTGGAAGAGAAGCTGCTGCTGGACCTCCTGAGCAGATTAAGTTCTCGAGGCACAAATAAGAACAGCAGCTAGGTGGCACAGGAATATTGGGGAGGGAAAGCGGGGAATAATAGGACCTGGGGAGTGGGAGGGGGGATGCAGCTGGAGAACATGGGACCCAAGGCCACATGTGGGATAAGATAGAGAGGGTATATCTACCCTGCATTAGAACCCGCAGCTGGCGCGTGCCAGCAGACTCAAGCTAAGGGGCTCGGGCTAAGGGGCTGTTTAATTGTGGAGTAGACATTCAGGCTTGCGCTAGAGCCCGGGTTCAGGGACCATGCGAAGGAGGGTCCCAGAGCTTGAGCCCAAATGCCTACAGTGCGATTAAACAGCCCCTTAGCCTAAGCCCTGTGAGCCTGAATCAGCTGGCGCGGCCAGCCGTGGGTGTCTAATTGCAGTGTAGACATACCCAGACAGGGACACTGGAAGATGAGGAGGAAACTAACAGGAGTTTAACCCCGTCCTATACAAACAAACCATATCCTCAGGTTTTCCCCCATCCCTCTGCAAGAGTGT